CCCATCTCCTTTTTCAGGACGCTATTCAAGGAGAGCAGGCGAGTCCACGGCCACCTCACTTCCATCCCGTGAGTATTCCTCGGCGTTCACCACACAATAAATCCATTCTGCTCCCTTGCCCTGAGTTGGGGGGTTGCTCTGCAGATGGCGTAGCGCAACAAAATATCCGTCTCAGGGCATGCTCCCTAAGGCAAGGCGGGGTCAAGTGTCATAGGGTCCCTTACACTGGGATTAACTTTAAAAACTGTGGTGCTAACAAAGACCCAGAGTGTGCCTAAACAGCAAGATGGTGTAAATGAAGATGTGTACAGGGATGGACATGAACCGGCTGACAAATGAAAGTTCGCCATGAATTCTGGCTGGTTCGTGAAGCAGCGTTCATGAGTTGAACCACTGTGAATGTTCACGAAGTTTGATGTAGTTTGTGGCTGTTCATGAAGAGCAGCTGAATGGCGGGGAGTTCTTCCCCCATTCAGCTGTTTGGTTTAAATGGCTTTGAGCTATTTAAACCAAACAGTTGAGCAGAGGAGAGCTTCCCGCTGCTCAGGTGTTCAGTTTAAATGGTCCCCTGCTTTCTGCTTCTTGTGGCTTCAGAAAGCAGAGGTTTAAATGGCTCTGAGACATTTAAACTCATTTTTTCTTCCCCGCAGAAAGCAGCGTGGAGCAGAAAGCAGGGGCTTAAGCTTTAAATGGCTCATAAACCAATACCAACTGGGTTGGTCCTTGAACCAACCTCCCTATCCGTATGGGTTCATGTTTCAGCCAGAACCGAATCACAAAAATGTGGTTTGTGCCTATCCCTACATGTGGATGCATGTAATTTGCTATTGCGCCAGGGGGTGCCCTGAACAGCATCCTTGGTGAATGTCAGTGTGACCACATGAAGTGGCCTCAGACAGAGTTGCTCCATCTAGCTCAGCCATATTGACTGTGGTTGCCTGCTGTGCTCCAAGAGGCCTTGGGCAGAGGTCGCAGTTGACCACTGGAGGTGCTGAATCTCGCACCCAAGACCTCGTTTGCCCAAAGCATGCTCTCTGTCTCTGAGTTAAAGCAAGAGTTGGGAGGCTGGAGAAAAGGAAGAGCTGAATCTCACCTGAACGCTAGAAACTGTGGCCAGGCATTTCAATCTTCTGCAGCGGCACTCATGTGCCTGTTGCAGGAGCCTTCTTCCAAGGCATCCTCTGGCTCCATCATGGGCAGTGCAACCTTCTCTGACCATCAAAAGCTCTCTAGAGTTTTGGGCAGGATGAGGTCTTACTCAGCCCAGCTGTCAAAGGTTGTTCACTGGAGATGCTTGGGACTGAACCGGGGACCTCACACATACAATGAAATCGTGCTGTGGCCCTTATCGTGTTTCTGCCTCGCATCCTGTCTTGGGACTAGGGATCCCCTTGGGGCATGCCAAAAGTCAACTAGCCAGTAGCCCTTTGCCCCGGTCTTTCAGTGCCTCTGGAGGGTCAAGCAAACACCTCTCTACCTTGTGTCCCCTTCTACAGAACAAAGAAGAAAGTCATGGCTCCTCCAAAGGTGAAGGGGAAGGTGAGCAATTTCTTTTGTTACGTCAGGAGGGTAGTTGCAGCTAGTGAGTTACCAGAACATCTATCTCAGCCAGCTGTTCCTGCTTATGCAGCATCCTTTGCTTATCCACTGCTTTCTGGGCTAACGTATGCAAAATATGGGTGTTCATTCACCTAAATTTGAGCCGGAAAATATCCAGAAGATGCCTTATCGGAATTTTTTGGATATTGGTTCAGCTGGATATAGATTTTGGATATTGTTCGTCTTTCCAAGATGGCCAGGCCTCGAAAATCCCAAAAATATTCTGGATTTTTGGGACTGCCGGATAAACAAACTTAAATGGCATTTAAAGGAATCATGGTCCCTTTAAATGCCTTCTCCAAGCCGCTCAAATCCATAGCGAGTGAACTCTGAAAGCATTTAAAGAGCACTTTAAACACCTTCAGAGTTCTCCAAGCTGTGGAGTCGCACGGCTTGGAGAAGTCATTTAAAGGAACTGTGATACCTTTAGATGTCTTTTTTCCTACTCCATTGAAATCAATGGAGAATGGGGGCACCTTCTTTGGGGGCCCATAGAATTGGACCCCCAGTCCAATCTTTTTTAAACTTGGGGCATTTTTTGAGGAGAGGCACCAGCAACATTGCTGCAAATTTGGTGCCTCTACCTCAAAAAACAGCCCCCTCCCAAAGCCCCAGATACCCCTGGATCCATTCCATTATGATAACCTATGGGGGGACCATTGACTATAATGGTCCTCATAGGGAGCCAAAAAAATTCGGGTTTCCTGAATCCCGATACCATACCAGTATTGGGATTTGGGAATATTGGGAAATACCAATATTTTTCTGGTTCAATATACCCGAACCTGTCTTTTTTTGGGGGGGGGGGGGGTACATCCCTAATACAAAATCCACATCCCTGCCTTGAGGAATTTGCTGTCTTAACTTTAGGAATTGGGGGTGGGGAGGGGAGGAAAGGATACATCTGGCAGGTCTTTCTCCTTGGCTGTCAAAGGCAAAGGAGGCTGAGCCCAGCACTTCCCGGAAATGGAAGTAAAATGAAAGGGAAGAAACCCCAAAGAATCTGAAGATGCTTGAAAAGAAAACCTTTCAAGACAGCCCACCACGTCAAGAAGGAAATTAAAAATACTATGAAAGAAGGAAACACAACATTTGTTTCAGGCTTGAAACTGTGCAGATGGATTTTATTTGACAAATGGTTTGATCACCTAAAACTCCAGACTTCTCTCAAGTCAGTGTTCAGAATTAACCTAAATGTTTGCAGAGCCATATTGTCATTTTTTAAAAGATGTTTTTGTTTCTGGTCTCTTTTCCCCAACATTTTTAGTGTTTTGTCTGTTTAAGCTCTGTTTTACAAGTCCTTGTCCATCACGAGTCTTATGTAGCCCAAGAAAGATTTGTTTAGCTTTGGGCCTTGTGAAGCCAATAACACCTACTTCCCCCCTAAGCACCTTAGACAATCTTGGGTTTCTTCCCCAAGGGGTTGGTTTCTGCAGGTTGTAAAAAAAAAGAAAAGAAAAAAAAAGCCTGTTTTGAAGCTTAGTTTTTTTATTAAAGCAGATTTACAAGACTTGAAATTGAGCGAATTTTACAGGAACAATAGCAAACAATTCTGAAAGATTCAGCTTCGGAACGAGCACTGCGTTTGTTGTGCAGTTAAAAAAATAAATCACAAGTAACCCAAATAGGATTTCAAGAAACTTCAGATTTTAAGCTCTGTGTACTTTATGTGTGATAAGCATTGTGTATCTGGTTTGGTTTGCATATATAGGTAAAATAAACCAAACAGGGGTGTGTAAAAATATACACAACACGCCAAAATATATTTTGCTCCAGCTAATCTCCTCCCCGAATTCCTGGCAAAACTTACTTCGGTCCTTTCTCTTCTGCTTCGGTTTCTTGAAACCACAAATGCTTTCGGTCTTACCATAAGTCCTAGAAACTTGCTTTTAATCAGCTATAAAATCTGTGATACCCAGAATGTTGCATTCTTGGCCCACAAACAGATTCTGCACTTAGACTCAACAGGCATTTTACCCAGAATATCTCTGTGGGTAACATAACTGGCTACAGAGTGAACAGCAGGTAACACGCTGGCTACAAAGTGACCAGCAGGTAGCACACTGGCTAGAAAATAAACAGCAGGTAACACACTAGCTAGAAAGTGCACAGCAGGTAACACACTGGCTAGAAAGTGAACAGCAGGTAACACTCTGGCTACAGAGTGAACAGCAGGTAACGCTGGCTACAGAGTGAACAGCAGATAACATGCTGGCTACAAAGGGACCAGCAGGTAACACGCTGGCTACAAAGTGCACAGCAGGTAGCACACTGGCTAGAAAGTGAACAGCAGGTAACACGTTGGCTACAAAGTGAACAGCAGGAAGTAGTTTAAATTTACAGCTGCTTCCATTCTCCTTTGTGCTTCCTTTCAGGAGCCATCTGGCAAGCCGGATAAGAAGGTGCCCCTTTCAGTGCCGTTGATCCACTCGAGCTGCGTGGTCTCACTTTCTCCAGAGCCGCAGGGGATCACCCTCGGCCTCAGCCCTCAAACCAGGGAGCTCTTGGCGATGAGTTCCACCTCCGTCTCGAGCAGTACCGCAGCCCAGGCCGCCTTCAGCATGGACGATTCTCTGGACGAGGACTTGATCCACAACGCAGCCTCGTCCTTGGAGGCCGTCTCAAAGGAGCTGGCCGTGCTGAACAGCCGCACGGGGGGCAGCCCTGACTTTACCCTTCCCACCACCCACAAGGCACCTGCAGAGAAGCCCCCCATCCCGGCGACGCTGGAAGAGAAGAGGAATTTTGCCAAAGTGGCACCCTCGCCAACCCAGTTGCCGGCCAGCGGCTCTCTGCAGTCACCCCTCAATTTCCTGGCCGAGCAGGCCTTGGCGCTAGGCCAGACCCCGGCAGACAAGAAGGCGGAGGGCTCCGTTTACAAAGAGCCGTCCTGCCCGGCTCCCCCTAACAAGCTGGACACTCACCCATCCAAGGCCAAACACCACAGCGTGCCGCGCACGGTTCACGGGCCCCAGACGTCAACCCCAGCGCCGGCACCCCCAGTGAAGGTGCCGCCCGTGGGAGGGCAGCATCCGAAACCTTTCCCACTTTCCCCTCCCTTTGTCAAGGCTGCCTCCCCGCTGCCCCCGCGCCCCCTCCTGTCGCAGCCAGTCAAGGGGCCCGCCAAAGCACCAAGCTTCCACTCTTCTCCGTCGTCATCCTCGTCATCTTCAACCATCTCCCCAGTGTCCAGTAGCTCCCATAAGACCCCCAGTTCCTCTCCCGTGTCTCTGAGCTACCTGGGGAAGCACTTGAGTGGCTCCGGCTCCACGGCTCCGCCCTACAAGACGCCCTTTGTGGCCCTTTCCCGGCACGTGGCTTCCTCCAGCGCCTCCCTGTCCGCCGGGGCCGCAAACCAGAGCTCCTCCGCTGGCAACCTGCTGCCCGGCGCTTCTCTTCCCTCTCCTGGGCAGGCTCCCAGTCGCTCGTCGCCAAGCTCCGCCGCGGCCAAGAAGACGCCAGTCTCTCAGAAGCTGACGCTGGTGGCTCCTCCGGGGGGGCCGAACGTCAGCTCGAGCGGGGGGACGCAAGGGGTGGCCAAGCTGCTGACGTCCTCCCTCAAGCCAGCCGTGGTGACCAGCACCGCATCTTCTACCTCGGTGACGGTAAGTGGCCCCTCGGAAAAGCCCGTTTGTTGACTTTGGACTGTAAGGCTCTCAGGGTCGGGGCTCGGCTGGCGCCTCCCTAAATCGTGGGCCCCCAGCGTGGGTGCCACCGGCACCTTTCCTGGTGCCCGCCAAGTGTTTTAAGAAAGTGGGTAGGGCCAGATGGGGAACTTGCCTAGTGGAGCTTCTCAGGGCTTTTTTTTGTAGAAAAAGCCCAGCAGGAACTCATTAGCATAAAAGGCCACACCTAACAGCATAAACTCATTAGCATATTAGGCCGCACCCCCATGTTACCAAAAGTGTGGTCATCCAGCCACACCCACCTTTTGGTTCTTATTCTGTTTACCTTGTTTGTTGTCAAAATTCAGGGCTTTTTTTGTAGCAGGAACTCCTTTGCATGTTAGGCCACACACCCCTAACGTAGCCAGTCCTAATGAGTTTCTGCTGTTGGGTGTGGCCTGTTATGCTAATGAGTTCCTGCTGGGCGTGGCCATCTCGGGAGCCAGCCGGAACTCCATTCCTGTGCGTTCCTGCTCCAAAATAGCCCTGGAGCTTCTGATTGGCCACTGGTGAGCAGATCAACGGGGCAGATGAAAACAGTGCTGTTTCAGCAGCCGCTGCCGCCATATTGTTGTTTTTCCGCTCTGACTACTCTTTCCAAGCGTGTTTCTAAAAAATTACTCTACTCTTCTTCCTCTTCGAGAGCCAGTTTGGTGTAGTGGTTAAGTGTGCGGACTCTAATCTGGGAGAACCGGGTTTGATTCCCCACTCCTCCACTTGCACCTGCTGGTGTGACCTTGGGTCAGTCACAAGCTCTGGCACAGCTGTCCTTGAAAAAGAGCAGTTTGTGTCAGAGCTCTCTCAGCCCCACCTACCTCCCAGGGTGTCTGTTGTGGGGAGGGGAAGGGGAAGGAGTTTGTAAGCCGCTCTGAGACTCCAAGTGAAGGGCAGGGTATAAATCCAATCTCTTCTTCTTCTTCTTCTTCTTGTGAGTGGCTTAGTAATTCTGGAGGGCCAGGAGAGAACGTCCTGCAAAAGGGGGACCAGAATTCCAGGTCGGACAATCAAAACTTCCCAGGGTATAGGCTTTCGAGAGTAAAAACTCGGATAGTCGGGTGTGAAAGCTTCTACCGTGGGAAATGTCGTTCGTCTCAGAGCCGCCACCGAATTTCTGTTCTACTCGTGCAGGCTCCGTGTGGCTTCCCGCCTGGCACTCTTCTGTAGAGCCGGGCTCTGATTTCCAAGGACGCCTCTTGCTCGGCGTCTCCAGTGTCCTGATCTCCTAACGGGCGCTTTCCCTCCCTTCCCTTTCCCAGAAAGGAGCCAGCGGGGCGGTGCTGCTGACTGGTTCGTCTTCCTTGAGCGTCCTGCCTTCCCCCTACAAGCCCGGCAGTGCCAAGCTTCCGGCCGCTCTCAGCTCAGCCCCGCTGGGCCTCCTGTCGCCCATCCACTCCTACCCTCTCCACGTCATCTCCTTCAGCTCCGAGTCCTCCCCCAAGGCTGGGGTGTCGAAGGACGCCATCGTCACGGGACCGGCCCCGGGGACTTTCCATCATGGCCTCGGCCATGGTAAGTGCTTGGTGGGGAGGGAAACGGGGGGTGGATAGGTGGGGGTGGGCTCATGCTGGTTTGCCCTGCACCGGGCTGTAAGTACTGCCGTGGTCACTCACCTACACGGTTGCCGTGGATTCCAAGGAGGTGCAAACAGAGGTATTGGCCGGGGCGAACGCTGTGGTGGGAAGCAGGTGGCCTCATCCTGCCTCTGTGGGGAAGCTGCGGTGGCTCAAGTGGTTAAGATGCTGAACTGCAGGCTGTGGAAGGTCTAGTTCAGCAGTTTGAGACCCGAGTGTGCCGCATGACGGGGTGAGCTCCCGTCTCTAGTTCCAGCTCCTGCCAACCTAGCAGTTCGAAAGCAGGAAATTGCAAGTGGATAAATAAGTACCACTTTAGTGGGAAGGTCACAGCGTTCCGTGCGCCTTGGAATTTAGTCATGCCGGCCACATGACCACGGAGACGTCTTCGGACGTCCATTTCGGTAGCCGCTCCGGGTACTTGGATTATGGGTAGGGTTGCAGCCCCTCCCGGTGGTGGCTGCCGATCTCCCGGGAGCACAGCTGATCTTTAGGCGACCGATAACAGTTCACCTGGAGAAAACATCTGCCTTGGAAGGTGGACCCCGTTGCATCGCACCCCATCGAAGTCCCTCCCTACCCCAAACCCCGCCCTCCTCAGACTCCGCCCCCTAAATCTCCCCGTATTTCCCAGTCCAGAGCTGGCAACTCTTAATCACAGAGGTGGCTCTGGACAGCCCCCGCATCACAGCCACTTCCCCTTCCAGACTTTACGGCAACCGTTTGAGATCTAACCATACGTCATAGCGGCGGGAGAGAGAATCTTTTCCCTGCTCTAAACCAGCAGCTGAGCCAGAGAGGGCATTTTGCACAAGACCTTGTCTTCAGAGTCCTTGGGTGTGGCCCGTTTGATTTGGGCTCGGTGGTAACGGCAGGTGCGTTTCTTCCCGCTCTCTTCCTGCCTCTTTCCCCCAAATTCTTAAATTGCTTTGCGGGCCGATGATAGCGAGGGAACATCCAGGCCAAACTCTCAGAGCTTGATCTTGCTTCCTTTGCAGGGAATGATGAACCAACCCTTCCCGCCTATAAATCTCTCTGCATTGTTGAAAGGAACTGAAACGCTGGCCATTTAGCTTAAAGTCATTTGGTGACTTGCACCTTAGAAGTTCCGGTCACCAGGGTAACAGTTACCCCCGTTTGGTAGTTACGAAAGCCACTTGTTTTTGGTTCTCTTCTAGGTCCTTCTCAGCTTCACGGGAAAGGGTCCAGCGTGCAGCCGCGGAAGTTGTGACGGCCAGGGAAAAGGCACCGCTACCCCCAGAGGGAGATCGGCACGAGGGAATGAAAGACATGAGAATGCCCCTCCGCCTGCCTGAAAAACTGAGCTGCGTGTTCAGACCCACAGCTTTCTGTGGAGACGTGCGCCACGCCGTGGCGGGTTTGGGGGAAGAAAAGCACTTACTGGGCACGGCTCTGGCAGCCGCTGCCGTTTCATGCAATTCCGGCTCCAGGGGGCGTGTTTGAGCGGGAAGGGGGGCCAGGTCTGGGGGCCAGGCTCTACAGGCTATAACCCCCATGTCCTCGATTCGCCGGCGGGGTCACGCAAAGGTGCTGTGTCCCGCTTCGGGCTTCCTCGGTGGGCTCAGCGCTCGGCAGAGCTATTGTGACTCGGTCAGCTGTATAGGTGTACATTTCCCCCAGCCTTCCCCCCCCCCAAAAAAAACCCTGTACCTATAATACAGAGTTGTGTTCATATTGACCAGGAAACCTTCCTTCCTCTGTGGCAGCTTTGTAAAGTCAAATCAGCTCCTTGGTCCTCCGGGCAGGCGAGTCCTCGGGGCGCACCCATCGCCATTCGAACTGAAATCCGTGATCTCCTCGGTCGCTCCGTTGTGCGTCCCTACCATTTTCGTTGTGTGTTTTTTTGGGTTTGTTTGTTTCTGTACGCTCAGCTGTCCCTCCCCTCCACCCCCA